GCGCAGAGGGTGGAATTTGGCTGCCCTGGTTGTCAGTTCTCATCTCCCAAACAGGATCATAAGAGAAACTCTTTTTTAACTTGGAAAACTTAAATAGGATTAAAGACGGTAGCGTGGAGAGGGAAATGCAGGGGAAGAGTGTGAGGCTGGGGTTACTGAAAACCCGGTGTGGGGTTGGAGAAGAGAAGGGAAATTCTCTTTTTCAATTGTTTCAATTAGGCTGTATATTTATCTGCCCTCTTACTGCGTTTCCAGGATGCGAAAAGCGAGAGGGAGCTGGAGGAGATGCGCTCGGTGTGCCAGGAGTGAGGACACCAGGCTCCCTGCGCTGCGCGGGCGGCGAGTTCCAGCGACAGGGGCTTCACGGTCCCCACAACCTCTGCACTTCGGGGACGAGCCACAAGAGTTTACAGGAAAAAAACAAGCAGCAGTTTCGTCAGCACGTCCAGGAAAAGCTCTTGGTGGGATTTGATCAGATGAAATGTGATGGTATTTTCCTCCGTACAGCACTGCAGATGTTTGATTTTTTAAAAATTCCTAAAAAATGTCAAAGTTCTGAAAATGGGGGGTGGGGTGGGTAGTTAGAACTTGTGATACAAAAAATATTTGTGGTTGTTTATCTATCATAGATATATGTGAGATATATACTTTGTGATATAAAAATATATACATATTTATATAAACACATCTATATTTTATATCACAAACTCTACCTGAACTCCAACAGCCTGAGCCTCAGGCTGCTGAGCTCTCCCAAAGCATTCCTGAGGAAGTCTTCAGCCAATGGCTTTATTTTTTTTTTTCAGATTAATTAACTGTTTTCTCTTTTCCTTAATAATATGTGTTAATTGGATCAGTTGAACTACTGACTGCATGCCTGGCAGGGGGGTTCAGGTGGGATGGAGTGTGGAGCTGCTGTGTGCTGCGCTGGAGCCGGTGGGACCTTCTCCTGCCCTTGGCCCTGGGCACCAGGGCTTGACACAAGGTGATGACAAAGGAGACAACAGTGACTTTAAACAGGGGAGCTGCCAGCCCTTCCTTCCTTCCTCGCTGTGAGGAAGTCGGTGGTGGTGCCCCAAACACACTCTTGGTCCTTCCCTGAACCACCTGCCTGGTTTGCTGCGGGGGGAACCGGCCCCGCTCGCTGCAGGGAGTTACTGCCAGGGACCCACGAGGTTTCCTGCACAAAACATCACTTTTAAGAGGCAAATTGCTTTTTCAGAGTGAGTAATAAGAATTTAAACTGCAGGACTCTCCCTCCTGGCGATGTTACTCCTCCTCTCCCATGAGACTGACAACTTCTTGTGTCCCTCTGAACCGCGCTGCTGTGGTTTAGGTGGAATAACTTAGTGTGGAAAGGAGCTGCTTCTCAAGAAAACACTGGTTACGGCACCAGGGATGTTCTGTGCCAAAACTGGTGCTTCCCTGTAGGTTCTGCCAGCTCTGGACTCGAGGTGACACCGAGGAGGTGAAGGTGCCACCAAGTCAGGCAGAAGCCAGCGTGCCCAAGGCTGACACACTGGAGGAGCAGAAACTGCCTGTGGGTGTTTCCCTGAGCATTTAGCAAGGGTTTCCTGACACTCCTCCACCTTTCAGCCAGCAGCTGACTCCTGCCATGCTTGTTTTTTAACGTTTGTTACGTATTACCATGTTGTGTGGTGTTTGTGAGGCGTCCAGGGAAAACACTGCAGGAGTAAAACACTTCTTAATGGCCTTTCAGTCCCTTGCCCACCTGAATTCACCTGATGGGGCTTTGCTTCGTGGGGATAACGCTGAAGGGGAGATAACGTGGCAAACTCGAGCTTAAAGACTCCCCCTTTTTTAGATTGGGCACTTTTTAGCTTTTCTTTTTGTTTGTTTGTCCAAACTCAACTCCCTAAAACTTTGGTGCTGAGCTCGTCTCATGAGCTCCAGGCGAGTGTGCGATTGGCTTTATTTGCTTGAAATACTAGAAATGGATAGTTATAAATGGAGAGCAGGGTCAGGACAGGGAGTGCCCTGTGTCTGTGTGGGGCTGGCTTTGCCCTGAGCGGGCACTTAATCTGGCACTTCATCTCTAATTGCGGGGCTTTTCAGTGTTTAATGTGTGCTGTTGTTTGGGTTCCCGGGTGCAATGATGAAGCTGCCTTTTCACTGGATGTGACTGTGTCTTGTTTTGAATGTTTCCCGGTGGATGTGACCATTATGTTTTTCTTCTTTCTCCAGTCTTTAAATATTTGCACAAGTTTTTCAGCTATTTTTTTGTGATTGCTCAAGCGGAGCTGGGAAATCCGCGGTGGTGGGATCCAGGAGATGATGAGCAGCCACTGGACTGTTCCCAGGAAGGTTTGCAGGGCTTTTTGTGGTGAGCAGCAGCACTGCCTGTCCCTGCAGCCGCCGGGTCCCGCTGCTGCTGCTGCCTTCCCTCTCCCAGCCAGCATGTCCCAGGGTGGGATTAATCCCTCCTGGTTGCTCTTCTGTGCATTGGAGTCCTTGGATTGTGTATTTTCTGGAGAAAACTCTCATTCTGCGTTTCCACAGATTTCAACGCCCTTTAGATTTTTTTTCCGCGGGTGTTTGGCCGTTTCCAAACAACAAGAGGCTGAAGGCTTGGGGGAAAAAATGCCATTTTGCTGTTCGTCTGCTGCCGGGGGTTGCGCTGGGTTGGGTTTGGGTGTTTCATCCCGTGTGTGTTGGTGAAGCCTTTCAGAGGGCGATGCAGGAGGGAAGCATTTTGCTAATTTGTTAATTGGGGAGGCGGCGTGTGGGCTGGCAGCCCCTCTCAGGGCAGCAGCTGCTGTTAACACTGCGCTGCAGGGACCCGGCTCGGGGTCACACACCAGGCAGCATCTTCAGAAACTGATACCAAAAGTCTTGTTTTTCTTACCCACAGAAGCTGAGGGCATTTTCTCCTGGGGGGGTGAAGGCTTTTGGTGCTGTTGGGGGGGGGTGTACAGGGCTGTGACCAGAACCTCTTCTGTCTCTGAGTCCAAATAACCTGTTTCCCTGGAGGAAAAGGAGGTGGTTCAAGGATGGTGATTCTTCCCTGTTGCTGTTCCTCAGGTGGTTTCACCTGGGCACAACCTCTCTCATTTGTTCAAGTTTGGGCTTTTGGTGAACGCTTTCAGCTTCCCCTGCATTCGATCGCCCGCTTCGCTTTTGTCTTGTGTTGGGTTTTGTTTGATGGTTTTTGTTTGTTTGTTTGTTTTTAAAAAAGAGACAGACTTGATTTTTGGGTTGAAAGAGCAGGGTCTGGCCCATGGCTCCCACATGGGCTCTGTGTGTGTGTGTGTGTGTGTGGCCCCATCCCTGTCCCGGGATGCAGAGACCACTGGTTCCCGGGAGGAAGGTTCTCTGCCCAGTTGGGTTTTCTGTTCTGCTCCATCTGCTGGGACCTCGTTAATGCCTCTAAGAGAGTTGGGTTTTCTGTTCTGCTCCATCTGCTGGGGCCTCGTTAACGCCTCTAAGAGACAGCACTCCCAGATCCTTCCAGGCACAGATAGAGGCTGTGTTTTGCCGTTTTCAGTCTGATTTCTGGGAATTCAGGGCATAATGATCAAAGGAACCTTTTCCATTCTGGTCCCTGGTTCTCCCTCTTCCTGGAGACTGTGACTGGTGACCATGGCTGAGTTGTGGTGGCCCAGGTTGATGTGGAGGTCGGGCAGGGCTGTGGAACTGAAACGCTTCCCCATCAACAACGCCTGGGGATTTATTTCTGGTTTTTAGCAATAAAAGGCACAGTCTGCTGCTGGGCTCCTGCCCTGCCCTGTGGGGTGGGAGCTGTTGGCCAGGGGAGAAGGTGCTTCAGGCTGATCCCGGGGACAGTGGGGATCCCTCGAAGCCACCTCCACGGTGCACGTCCTGGGGCCACAAGGGATTCATTTGTCGGGTACAATTTTGGTAGAGACTCTGCCCCACTTCCATCCAGATACATCCTGGCCTTGTCCCAGGGTGAGAGAGAAGAATTTCCTGGAGCTGCTCATGTCTTAATTGTAAAACATCTACCTGTGGGTACATTGTGGTACTAGAGAGAAACTGAAGCTGTTTAATTTATCCTCGTTGTGCTGTTCTGTTTGCAATAAAGCATTTGTAACTAAGGAGGAGGGGATCCCCTGCTGCTCTCTCGCTTTTTACGCCGATACCCGAGGAGGGGAGGGAACCCCACGGCCAGGTGGGGTCTTCTAGGGACCATCACCTTCTGGTGCCAGCGGTGGCTGCGCCCAACGCGATGGCAGACGCTGGGGAAGTCACCTACATCGTTGTTTATATATTGAATAGTGAGGGTGGCACCTGTAGCACGTCTTGTGTGTCGGTAGGGACCCTTCTGCTGGTGTTCTTGGGGTGCCCCAAAGTAACAGGGGTAACAGTGAGCAGCTTCTCTGGAGTCCCTCTCCTCTTCTTTCCTCCTCCAGGTGGAATTGTGGCCTCCTCGTGTGCACTGGGTCACCCCAGAGAGCTTTGGTGTCCCTGAGGAAAGGAGCTGGTGCCGATCAAGGGGGATCCTGCCAAGTTCTGCTGCTCTGGAGGGACCAGGGCTGCGGCAGGATGCTCCAGTGCGGGATGGGACCGGTGGCACAGGCAGGGACACTGAGTCGGGGATGGATGTGTAGGGACCTGACACTTCACCTAAATCTCTGGCTCTTGGACCATCAGAAGCTTCTGAACAACTTCTAAAAGTGACGTTTTGCACTACTTGAGTGTTAACTTGGTGATTGAGGGAGGTTGGGAGGCTCAGAGGGTGGTTGGGAGGATGGTTTTAAGCAACTTGGCCATCCCGGAGGGGGTCAGTGTTGCCCCCAGGCTCGGGACAGGGATTTGAGACCTGGCCAACTCAGTGTTGTGGTGGGTTTCCAACAGAAGGAACGTTACCAGAGCTGTGACCACCTCTCCTTGTGCCGGGAAACTCCTGACTCGGGGCTGGGGTGGAAATGTCGACATCACTGCCTCCCCGGGACAGGAGGGCCCTTCCCGCTCCCACCCCGGCCTTACTTCTGCTAAACCCCCATTTCTCTGGTTCATTGACACTTGGAATTCCTTGGAAATTCCCTGGCAAAATCCGACCTGCGGGGACCCGGCTGGGCTGGAGAGACAACCTGGAGCAGGGGGGGGTCGGGGGCCCGTCCTCTTCCCGCTGACACACATTGACTTGGCTGGTGTTTGGGGGTTGTGTGTGAAGCAGCAGCGTTGGAGAAAAAGCTGCCCTTTGGGAAGTGTCCTCACGGGGAAGGGAAGGGAGGTGACAACGGGGGAGGAGAGGAGAGACAGGGGGATAAGGCCGGACGCAGCCGCTCGCTGCGGGGCCTCGCACACACGGGCAGTGGCCGCGGTGGTGTCGGGCTTGAAGACATGATCTCAGCAGCCTCAGGGGCCAGAGATTTCCTTCTTTTCATAAGAATTTTGCTCTCTCCAAAGTAAACAGCTGAGCAGGGCTCAGGCCCCCGGGGGACGGCACGGGGCTGTGCTGTCTCTGGAGAGGCCGGCGGTACAGACGTGTCCCCTGCGGGGGTCAGCCCCACCACCACCTCGGGAAGGGAAGGGAGGTGACAACGGGGGAGGAGAGGAGAGACAGGGGGATAAGGCCGGACGCAGCCGCTCGCTGCGGGGCCTCGCACACACGGGCAGTGGCCGCGGTGGTGTCGGGCTTGAAGACATGATCTCAGCAGCCTCAGGGGCCAGAGATTTCCTTCTTTTCATAAGAATTTTGCTCTCTCCAAAGTAAACAGCTGAGCAGGGCTCAGGCCCCCGGGGGACGGCACGGGGCTGTGCTGTCTCTGGAGAGGCCGGCGGTACAGACGTGTCCCCTGCGGGGGTCAGCCCCACCACCACCTCGGGGTGAAAGGCATTTTGGATGGAGTTTTCATCATTAAGTTGTTTATGAAAAGCAGGGGGGGCTTGGGTCTGTCTGAGCTCCCCAGGCCGGGCTGCCCCGTACCTGCAGCGGGGTGTTTTGAGGGGGAGGTTGATGATGGCTTTTCTCCTTGGGGGAAGGCTGGGTGCTGCAGCCAGGGCTCTTCTCTGTCTTTTGCTTAATAACAAGCATCTTCCAGCATTTTGGGAGCTGGGAGGCTGCGGTGGGAGCAGTACCTGCCTGTGGTGGGAGCGGGTACCTGCCTGTGGTGGGAGCAGGTAACTGCCTGCGGAGGGAGCAGGTACCTGCCTGCGGAGCCGGCTGCCGGCACGGAGAGACACCACCTCGGGGTGAAAGGCATTTTGGATGGAGTTTTCATAATTAAGTTGTTTATGAAAAGTAGGGGGGGCTTGGGTCTGTCTGGGCGGCCACGTACCTGCAGTGGGGTGTTTTGAGGGGGAGGTTGATGATGCACCCTCGGGGTGAAAGGCATTTTGGATGGAGTTTTCATCATTAAGTTGTTTATGAAAAGCAGGGGGGGCTTGGGTCTGTCTGAGCTCCCCAGGCCGGGCTGCCCCGTACCTGCAGCGGGGTGTTTTGAGGGGGAGGTTGATGATGGCTTTTCTCCTTGGGGGAAGGCTGGGTGCTGCAGCCAGGGCTCTTCTCTGTCTTTTGCTTAATAACGAGCATCTTCCAGCATTTTGGGGGCTGGGAGGCTGCGGTGGGAGCGGGTACCTGCCTGTGGTGGGAGCAGGTAACTGCCTGCGGAGGGAGCAGGTACCTGCCTGCGGAGCCGGCTGCCGGCACGGAGAGAGAGCGGGAAGGATTAGTGCCCTGGGGCCTGTGAGGACACAGCGCCTTTCCCAGCATCCATAGTGAAAAAAAATAATAAAATAATGATATTTCCTGGCAGCGCCTCTCCTTAAACATGAGAAATGAGGTGGTCAAAGTATTGCAAAATCCCTCAAGTGAGTGCTGGAAGCAGACTCCTGCCCCCGGCCGCGGGAAGCGGAGCTGTGGCCATGGGCTCTGCACGCCACGGCCACCACCTCCCACCAGAGAGATTGGGGGCCGTGGCAAACACAGACGCCAAAATCTTCATGATTGGGCCCTGAATACCCTCGACTTTAAATTCCTTATGGGTAAGGAAGGAGCTGGAGGTCCAGGGGCTGGTGGGGGGAGTGGGTGGGATGCTCTGGTGGCTGATGACTGCGCTGGACCCCGGGCAGGTTCCACCACGTCTTGGCCCTTGTGAGACACTAGAGCAAGTCGTGATGCTCTTCGTTAGCCCAGCACCTTCCCTCCTCCATGGCCTTCCTCACAGAAGGAATATGAGGATGTTTAGTTCTAAACTAGCTCTGCAGCAGGTCCGGGGGGACTGTGGGGGTGTGTTGCTCCTGTTGACCATGGGCATTATGGTCATACTGCTGCCACCAGTACCACTGTGGTGTGAGGTGGCCTTGGAAGTGTCCTCATGTGCTGAGACAGCTTAAAGAGGAGAGCTGAGGCCCCAGGGCTCTTCCCATATTCATTCCCCTATTTTAGTGTACCCATAAAATGAGGTCGGAGATGATCTCCAGATCATCTAGACGATCTCCAGAGGTCCCTTCCAACCCCCTATCATTCAGTGAATAAATAACCATCCTGTGGTCCCGAAGTCTGGCCACCAGCGCAGGAGCCGGTCACCATCCTGTGGTCCCGAAGTCTGGCCACCAGTCCGGGAGCGCAGGAGCTGGTCGTGTCAGCATCTCCAGGGGGTGTCAGGCAGAGGGGCTCCAGCTGGACCATAGAAGCTGGAGATGACCCTGGGTGGCAAAGCTCTGAGCAGGCAGTCTGTGATGCCGAGAGAACTGCCAATTTCTGTCTCATGGCATCTCAAGGGACGTTTTCACAGTCGTGTGTCTAAAGAGGAGAAACTTGTGCTTCCTTTCAAACCTGGGCACCAGGAGCTGTTGCTGACCCGGCTTGGTCGTGCTTCCTGATTTTAATAGCCCATGGAGGTGGCCATGAGCAGGGACACCAGGTGGCACTGGGAATATAACAGCTGTCCCTGGAGGCAGCCCAGGGGACACGTGGTGGCATCAGGAACCCACCATCCCTGGTGCTCAGCAGGGCACCACCAGGGCTCCATTTCTGTGCTGAGCTTTGGAGGAGTTTCAGGTCCTGCTGGTGGTGGGTGAGGATTTCCTGACAGCTGTAGGTCACGCTGCCACACGTCATTGGGAGCTGAATCTGGGGGGGAAAAGATTGATTTTGGAGATGGGCTGTGTCCCATTTCAGCAAAGCGGCTCAGTGCACACTGTCAGAGCCTGCTCTTGGGTGCCCAAAACCTCTTTCTGCTTCAAGCAGAGGCTTGTAGAGTAGAAGCACCTTCCCTGGGTCGCTGTGTCCCCAGGGACGTGTCCCTCTACCCACCCCACAAGCTGCCCCCAGTTTCCTGGTGGAAGGGGGGTGAGAAACACCCCCCAAAACTTTCCTGAACCTCCTTCTTCACCCAAACTGGAGCAGCAAGAGTTGCTCATGGGTTCAAACCGGTGGGGCCATTCTCCCACCCCCCTGGCAACTGGTCCTTCAACCCTTCATAAGCTCCATCAACAGGACCCCCCCAGCCTCCCTTAGCTCCCATGAGGCTTTCCTTGACACTCCTCACCCCAAATATCCCCCTCCACCCTCCTGCACCACGGGTGAGCCAATTGCTCCTCGCTGCACCCCGGGGCGAGGTGGGGTCCGGTCCTTGCAGGGAGGTCCCTGTGGGGAGGTGGGTCTGACCCCCTTTTGGGGCGGGAGAGCTGAGGGGATGCGGGATGGGGGCTCGGGCGTGAATGATGCTCCCAGTCACCCCCCCCAGAGGAACCGAGAGGAGCCAGTTCTGTGTCAAAGGTATTTATTGCTGTGGGGACTCCTGGTGTCACCCTACGGATGGGGACGCTCCATGGGAAGGTCCACCTGTGGGCAAAGCACCCAAAAAGTGAGGGGGTGCAGCAGAGATGGGACCCCCCAGCGGAGGCTCAGGGCTGGATGAGCGGGGGGTGCCGCTGCCGCACGCTGAGGGTGAAGGGCCGTGGCTTCAGCGCCAGCCCGTGGACACAGTCCATGGTGAGGGGCTCCGCCGGGTTGGCGTGGAAGGAGCATTGGTGGAGGAGGATGGCGGTGAAGAGGAAGAGCTGGAGCTTGGAGAGCTGGTCGCCGATGCAGCGGCGCTGCCCGGCCGAGAAGATCATGACGCTGCCGGCCCGGTCCCGGTCCAGGCAGC